CTTTAAATTTGTTTTATGCATTTATTACTCTCTATACTTGAAAAATATATTAAGTCTTGAACCAATAAAATAAAAATAACAAAATACTAGAAGTTTCTTTAAATAAATGTAAAATAATATATGTAATCTTAAATCATAATAAAAATAGATTTTTAAATTAAGCTAAAGCAACTAAACTTAAAAAAAAATCAACAATTTACTTATCAAAATATCTCAAATTATTATCTTCAGTTATTTACATAGATTAATTTAATGTGGTGTGTTGTTGTCTTTTTATGGATACTTGACAAAAATCATTATCATTTTTATGATGAATTCTAATCAACAATTATTTTAAGTAGGTTATTTAGTGTTGGTATTTGGTTATATCTAATATAATTTAATTAAATATTTAATTTAAATGAAATTTGCATGCAGTTTTAGAATTTCCTAAAAATATTAAGAATAGTTAAATTAAATTAAATGATTGCATTTTAGGCAGTAGATAGACGAATAAGAAAATAAGAGGATAAAATTTTACCCGCTTTTAGGTCATTCTTGAATAATAGATTGATTTGGTAAAAAGTAATAGAAGTATAAATAATTTTTTACAATAATGATTTTTTCTAATGAAAATCATGTGAATGGAAAACTCTCTTGGTGTGGCTAGTATGATTAAAGAAAGAGGAAGGATGGCAAATGGATTGCTTCTTGGGATGAAAGCACACAAAATAATGTTGGTGGATATTATAAGAAAGGATAAAAGCATGGATTATGGATAGACCTATTTCAAAATTATTAAAAGTAATTATGAATATTTAACATTATGAATAGATAATCATAAGTATTGGAAGCTGGAGAATATTGTAATGACTTTAGAATTGGAAAATGGAATTATATTTGCCAAAATGTGAAGATGTAATTATTGTTTAAATTATTTAGAGGTGGTGGATTTTATATTAAAGATAGTTAAAAGAAAGGTAAATGGATTGAGCTGGATGAAGGATTTTAAAGAGGTAAAAAGGTAACTTATAGTGGAGAATATAATATGAATGGTAGAAAGATAGGTAGATGGGATATTATGTGTGATAGATATGGAGAAGGATAATATAAATATATGTAAATATAATAGAAGTATTATACAGTGGCGGAGGATCATATGATTATGAAGGAAACTAGAAAAAGATTGGATAATGGGTAGAATTAATTGAAGGGTTTCAAGATTCTAAATACTTCGCTTCTCATGGTGAATATAGTATGAGCGGTATAAAGGTTGGAAGATGGGATATAATTTCTTGTAAAGGTTTTGAGAAGATCGTTTAATAAATGTAAATACTATACACGTATTAAGCGGAAATTTATATATTAGTGGTGGTGGATAATATGATTAAGAAGGAAATTAGAAAAAAATTGGAAAATGGGTAGAATTGGATGAAGAGTTTTATAAATATAAATAGGTTACTTATATTGGAGAATATCATCTAAATGGTATGAAGATAGGTAGATGGAATATTATGTATTGTTAATAAGATGAGAAATAATAT